GGAATTTTTGGATTCCTTTCTTGAATCAAAAATAGCTTAAATCAAGTAATTTGTTTACTTTTAAAACAGGAAAAAAATCTGTAGTTTCCTGAATGACACACAAATCCTATTTCAGGAGAATAATTGTCATAATTGCAGGTTACTTTCTTAAAATACCTGAAAAAATTCCTTCCTAAAAATGTAACTTCACAAGGATAGAAAAATATATTTACACCACAGGGTGCTCGTACACCAAAGGAATTTGCTCCTTCCACGTAACCTCCACAGTAGCATTTAAAGAACTTATTAGCAAATTTACTGCCTTAATTAGAAATATGGAAGGGAAAGGGAATTGACATGTAACTTGATTTCACTAGGTATAAGATTCTTTTATTTTCATTCATTATCCAACAAAAATTTATGGAATACGACAAAGACATAGGGCTAGATGCAGGGGGTGTAAGGATGAGCAAGACACAGTCCCTGCCCTCAAAGTCTAGAGGGAGAAACATACACATACTTTCAGACACATACTCAAATACACACATGCTCACACACACAAACAGACCCACATATACCCCCATACACATATATTCACGTACATATTCATTGCTCATACTCAAACACACCCAACACCCATACACTTTCACATACTCACACACATTCACATATAAACATATTTACACATACACACACACATACATTTGGGAGCTCACAAAGTGGAGACCATGAGTAGAGTATGTTTCCAAGTTACAAAGGGAAGGAGAAAGAAATAACAGTGGCAACAATCCTGCGAGACAGCTATTACAGAAGCTCAGTACGGCTAAGGAGATAGTCATAGTGGAGTTGTTAAATGCTAAGGAACTGGTTTACCAAGATCTAGATTCACGTTCAGATCCTCCATTACTATCTCTGAGGTCATGACTATGTTATTTATATTTAATGCTGCCTCAGTTTTCCTCACTTTTACTTGGGAGCTATCACAGAACTTACCTCAAAGGGTTTATATGAGGTTTAAATGAGATGATACATGTAAACCACTTAGCACAGTGCCTGGCATGTAGTAAGCACTCCATACATATCCAGTTTTAAATTTTTAATGATATCCTTATTATTATCAGTGAAGGTTAGTTATCTGGTAAATTGTGAAGACAGTTCTGCCCTCACCAATCTGTCAGTGAGTGGAGACAAAACATTGTGTATTAAATGAATACTTTACGTGGCCACTGTTTAAACTTAATTTTTAAAGGATTAAAATTAAAATTCAAGGAAGGCAAACTATTATTTACAGTTAACACAAACATCTAGATATCATGGTCATTATTGGGAAAATCTGAATCTGACTAAATTTCATCTCACCTGGTATTATTAAATAATTTCTGTGGTTGTAACTCCATGGAAAAACTATATAAGCTATTATTAACTCCACAATCATTTCACCAAAGTATGTTGGACTTGATCACCTCATTTATACACTACTGACAATGTCATTTGATATTATTCATTGATATGATGAGGCAATTCATAAAATAAGAAAGGCCAGTGTACATCTGAAAAGGTGTTACATCACCAACAATCGGAGAATTGTAAATGAGAGATTATTTTGGACTCTTAGCAAAGTTTAAAAAGATGGATTGGGTGCTATTGAGGGGCTGGTGACACTGGCATTCTCATACATACATTGTTAGTAGGAGCAGAGATTAGTACAACCTTTCTAGAGGCCAATTTGGCAATACAAGTAAAAACATTTAAAAATATGTTCTTTGATTCAGCAGTTCCACTTCTTGAATTTTATCTCAAAGGAATATAATCAAATACACAAAAATGCTTGTATATGCGTGCTCACTGCTGTGTTGTTTATGATGACAAAAAATTGGAAACCACCTAAATGCCTGCCAGTAGAGAAATGCTTAAATAAATGATGGTAGAGCTATACACTGGGACTCTATGCAGCTATTAAAAAGATAGATCTATTTGTGTTGACATGAAAGATGTCCATGATCCATATCAGATACCACTTTTATATTAAAAAGGTATATGCATAGGAAACAATTTGGTCATCTATAACTTTTTAAAAGCAGCTTTATTGTGGTATAATTTACATACCATACAATTCACCCATTGTAAGTTTACAATCCAATGACTTTTGGTAAATGCATACAGTTTTGCAAGCATTACCACAATCCAGTTTTAGAACTCTTTGTTACCATCCAAAGTTCCTGCCTGCTCATTAAGGCTTAACTTTTAACAGTGGTTACTTTGAGGGTGAAGTCTGGGAGAGTGAAAGCAGGAGGGGAGAATTATAGACAGCTTCCTAGTTTATCATTTCTGTCTCATTTGAATTAATTTACAACAAGGATATATTATCTTTTCATTGAGAAAACAGTAAAGGTTTTTCTATTTTGAAAAGAACAAAAAAAGGAAACAGACTTATACCCTTTGACCCAAATCTACTTCTGGTAATTTACCCTAAGGAAATAATCAAATATATGGAAAAGGATTTGTGAACAAAGATATTTATCAATGTTTTATCTGAAATAGAGAAAAGTTGTTAAGCAATCTAAATATCTCATGATGGAAGAAAACAATTACTAATCACACTGAAATATGAAAGGTACAGGATGCAAATATTTATATGCAATCTTTATAATTTTATCCATGTAAAAAAAAGTTAATGCACAGCCAGAAAGTCCTGTTTGGAATATAATGAAATCTTGCCAATGGTTATCTCTGGATGGTAGAATTATAGCACTTTTAATTTTTTTGTGCATTTCTTCATTTCCCACAATGAGTATGTATTATCTTTACATCTAAAGCCAACTACATAAATGATACTAATTAAAAATAGGGCTTCCCTGGTGGCGCAGTGGTTGAGAGTCCGCCTGCCGATGC